GATTGCAGGAAATTAACGCTAAAATGTGAATTCGGACCGCAAGAAAAAAATAAATTACCATATTACTATTTTTTTGTATTTTCCATAATCAAGGCAAAGAGCATTACCTTTTACCCAATAGCCTCGGTTTTCAGAAAATCTTGTGATCAAAATAATCTCGTGGTTTGGCTTAAGCTAAATGAGATTCTATTTTTTAATACAGTAGCGTAGCCAGCCAGACAGTTTGGTCATGCTATGCAAAGTTCAAGTCATTAGAATAATTAAGTGATTCAATGTTTTCATAGTCGATGAACACTAAAATATTGGCATAACATGACTATAAAATAAATATCACGCTGGCTATGCCACTGGCCAAATAAAGACATAACAAAGATCAGTCAACTCCACCTTCATGTTAAGATCGCCTTTTTTTGTTGAATTGTTTTGTTTTTTGACGTTTTTTATTGTTCTTTGCATTTTTTCACTTTTTTCATTATAGGAAGCCCGAATTTAAGCGTGCGCTATCAATGTTTATAATCCTATATTAATTATGCTAAGATACGAAACTTTGGCTAGAGCCTAGCTACAAAGTAACCATACAATATATCAAAATACAAAACAATGATAATTTTCCCAATCCGTGATATGAAAAAATTGGGGGGTGTCTAGCTGGCAAATAAAAATCCATTTCTTGGTTGAAACAAGTTATATCTCTTGAAATTATTTTATTTCGGTTTCAAATTTATGTCAGAGGTAATAGTTCTTATAACTAAACAAAATTTCGACCGGATTTTTTCCCTACAGCTTTTCTGTCCGCTGATTGGCTAAAATATGAACGCGAGATCACCTGGACAGCAAGACTAAAAAATGGTTTAGTTTCTAGGAAATAAAGTGAAGACCAGGAAATTATACACGGTTTCCCAAAATACAGTTAATAGAATATACATGGTTTGGAGACTAAATAAAAGTACAATACAACTTATTTTAATAAGTTAAAACTATGTTATTGTCCCAGTTTATGCAAAAATGGTTCCTTTCTCGTCACACGTCTATTTTATTTTAGCCAAACTTTCCAATGGCATTCGCCTTGCTAAGCTTCTCAACCTTGACTTGAAACATATGTTAATTAAAGGATTGCTATTGGTTTATCTGTGCAAAATGCAATAGACATGTGATGAGGCAGTTCTGGCAGTTAGAACACAACACGTGACACGTGCAATTTTCACGTGTTTGAAAGTGATGATAACAGATAATGCGTTTAACCATGTGATTTTATATGTTCGTCTTACTTTAAGACTTTATCGTCATCCATAGACATGCATATATATCTGTTTCCAGGAATGTGATGGCTATATAGTTGTGAGAGATTCAATGTGTAAAAGAGTCTAAAAATTGCATTTATACATGAAAATACATGAAATCATTCAGGGGCGGATCTAGGATTTTTCAAACATAAGTCCAAATTGGAAAATTTTGAGAAAATTTTTCAAATCGGCAGATCGGAATTTTGATTATTTCGGCTCATTTTAGGGTTCATCACAATGCCCAGGAAAGACATACTAGATTCCGCTTATTAACAGAGCTGGCGAGGGTCATATTTCAAAATACACAACTTCGTACTCCCATATATTATCCCCTTATGATAGCAATAGTTGATTTAACACAAATTAAACAATATCCTCAAATAATATAAAGAGAAATATTCCATTGCTTCGCCTAAAATGCATTAGGCGTACAAGAACTTTACAAAACCATGCTAATCATAACAAACATAATATGCTATAAATAGACGCGAATATTATAATATGCATCGCAAACTTCAGTATAATGCAAATTCTCAAACACTCTAACGAGTGTTGAGTAAGTAGGCTTTATCCATTCTAGTGCATTTTACGACAGGATACGTTTTATAACCATAATATTATGAGCATAGGAACTACTAGGAAGATTATGATATATAAACTATATATTGATAATTGATCAGGTTACACAACAAAGCGGCATGAAATCATAACTGTGAACGAACTTGTCGCATGCATGGAACACTCCTAAATCATTATATTTTTAGGTATATTGCTATATTTGTTATATTATATCCATGTTAAACGTTTCTCTTACCAACACAGTCTTAGTTTTCATGTTCAGCAGGGATATCGTGATTAATTCCCTCGTCTATTAAAGTCTAACATCAACACAGTTGCTCGAATGAAATCGCTGCTCCACGGTAATGCTTATCAAGAGCCAGTTATCTTGTAAAATCCTGCTTCGAATGTCCGCGTATTAAAATAATTTTCTAACAATAAAGTTGTAATCCTTCTGACAGAATATTGGAAGTAGAGAGCCTGGCTTCGTTGAATAATAAATTTTGCAATTTTATCATTCTGAAGACAGAGCGATCGAACCCCGTTTAAAGTTCAAGTCAGTCCGGCCACCCCGCATATCAGTCGAGATAAGTCCGGTAAATTCAAACTGACCAATCGCAATGCAAGAAATGGACTGATTTGGCCCCGTTAAGGTGCAAATCAGTCCGGCCACCCCACAAATCAGTCGAGATAAGTCCAAATGGCTTATCGACCAATCAAATGAGCCGGCTGACCCACCCGATTCTGCGAGTTTTTTGCGTTTTACCGCTGCTCTGGATGAAAGAATATTGCTTTTTTTAAACTGAACCCTTTAACTGGACTATGATTTTAATTCTTATTACAATCTTGAAGGGGTTAATTATTCATATTTCAAGATAAATTTGAATAAGTATTTAATTATCATTTTTACTGCCAAAAATACGTAAGTCGCGCGACTGACTGGACTTACCCTAGATCCGCCCCTGAAATCATTATACTGTGTATTATGCGAACAGTTATAAAACGCATGGTTGAACGCATATGTTATAGACGCATGTGTTCGCACGGTGTCCAGAATTATCCAGAACAGTAAATTGAGCAGCCCTCATAGTTAATGAGTTTTGTAGTTTTATGTGGTCTCCAAACCATGTACAGTATATTCTATTAATTTAACTGTGCCCAAAATGAAGCCGTTCTCTTGTCTTTATTACTCATTGTTTTTCTCCACTGTGAATTGGCGGCTATAAACCGAACAGGAAAATATATTTAGTATGCCATTTGCAAACACATTATATCGTTGTAATTGAATGAAATTGTGGTGATGTTGAAGGGCACGGCCATGACTTTTATTTTCAAATCAAATAAATCACAAACCTTTACTTGTGGACTGATTTGCCTGCTTCTATTGTCAGGTTAAATTACCTGTTTAGACAACGGGGGAAAATTAAATAACCACTGTCAATTTAATTTATTCAAATTCTTGAGCTCAGAGTTGAATCAACAAATGAGCGCCTTCTTTTGAGGGAACATTTTTTTGACACCATGTACGTAAACCCTACGTAAATCTCTAAAAAACAGATAATGGTAGAAACCTACCATTTTACCAACAAGAAATAGAAGCTTTCTATTTCATGAATCTTTCGTTTAGAGCTATTGTGTAAATAACTATTCAGCGTAACAAAAACGTGATGTCCATGCAAACTAGGTCTTATTTAGGCCTAGGTTAAACGTCGCATTTTGGTCGCATCGAATGCAATTCAAACAATAGATAATGAGATGATAAAACTCATCAAGCTTCATTATCATCTCATTATCTATTGTTCGAATTACATTCGACCCGACCATAATGCCACGTATAACCTAGGCCTTAGTTACCGGTTGCTTCATTTTCCTCAATGCGATAGTCATAAGTCATTTTAACATTATGACGTTGGTTAGCACATTTGTTTTTGTGAACCAGAGCGTGATTACTAAAGCTGCTTTTGTTATGTTTACGGTAGGTATAAAACATGTGAATATACGATTGCGCTTCATTCTGTTGAAGAATCTACGGGAAACAGCCAATTTTCGGCAGAATACAGATTGCTGAACGAAGAAGAGCAAAGAAGAGAAGTCAAAGGTTTGACTATATATCGTTTTTATTACTCTCACATCTCGACTACGCCTAGGTCGCTATATTTGTCTAAAATTCCGGCGCTACAACTTTGGCTAAACGGATGATAAATTAAGACTGCCTTGCTAAACACATGCACGATCAATGGCAGTGTCGATGGTGAATAATTTCTTAACCGTTCACCTTTCTTACTTCTTGAATTCCCTAGTAATATAAGACCTGTTTTCAACATGCTATTTGTTAACCACAGTATCCCCAACATTTAAATAACGCGATCCTGTAAGATAAGGGTAATTATATGAGACTTTGTGTTCAAAAATGAAGAACCGCATTCTTTGCACGTTGTATAATTATAGTGTTCTATGCTGGTATATTTCACAAAGCGACGTATATTTTACGAACGTTATGTCCCCACGTGTGTTGAACTTGGCATCGCTGAGTTTAGGGTGTGGCAAAACGACTTTGCACCTTACTATATTCTACTAATCGCACAATAAGTTGAATCTTTGAATCTTTATTATTTATATTAATTTAAACGAAAATGTAAGTGTAAGTGGATAGGGAACGCTTTTGCCTATTTATCTGGCAAGGAAGGTTTATATTATTTCGAATGAGCATGAATACGCCGAATTGAATATTGTCATTTCATATTGTTCACAGGATTGTGGCATGAATAAATGACTTGTATAGTTGCATGAAACGTCACTGATAAACCAGTTGTACAGATCTGCTGGACAACTGGAAGAAGGCATCTTGATGTCTCGGCTTCGATCAATATCTTTCTTTAGATCGACACAATGATCTTCAGTCATGATAAGATTAACAAATGATTAATCTACACTTACTAAAATACGAATAGAGATATAGCGCGGGATCGATGTCTCGAATTCTTGTCCCACGGCAAGGCAAACAAGCCTGTAGCCTCATAGCCTGGACAATAATATACTAATTTACTTGTTCATTCTGCCTCAATTTTAGATCAAATCAATTATGGCAACCCAAGAGTTGCTAACAATTATTACCTTTCTCCTATCACTGGCTACACCTCCATCCATCGCTGTGCCATACATGGATTTGTTGGACTTGGATACCAAGCAAGGTAAATATTGCAGGCTACATGATGTACGGTTGAGTTTATTATTATGTCATATTAAGACTGTTGCACATTAATGTTTTATTTAGTAATTCCCCTATATGGGAATCTGATAAAGTTCGATGTTAACCCCCAGTAAAGATTTCACAAAATTATTTGAAATAACGCTGGACCTCGACTGATTTGAATTCCGGAGGGGGCCATACATAGCAAAATTATATGCATTATCATTTTATTTTTGTTGTTGATGATGGGTTCTATGGTGTTTCGGTGCTAGAAGATAGAATAAGTGATACTAATTATTGGCCCACGTACTGAAGACACATCACTATGAGTAAATCTGTATATTATTTGCACCACGAATGAAGAAGCATTAAGGTTTCAATGTTTTCGTCCTTTCGTCTAGTGCCTTGTGAAGTGGTCGCCTTAGGGATGGAAAATGGATTGATTTCGGACTCCCAGATAACAGCAACAAGCGTTTGGAATGCGGTTTTGTCGACGCGACATGGTCGTTTAAATGATGCAGCTTCCTGGTCTGCACGGAAAAATGATCAGGACCAATGGATTCAAATTGACCTCGGCAAGAAAGATGTTGTCGCAGCGATTGCCACTCAAGGTCGTCGTAATTATAATCAGTGGGTGAAGACCTATTCTGTATCCTATAGTTCCAATGGAGAACACTTCGATTATTACAAAATAAACGGATTAGTCAGGGTAAGCTGCACTAATAAGCAAGGCTTCCACAGATTACCCTCTCACGTTATATGCATTACATCATTTCCATGCGGTCATATCTAACTGTAACGGTGGGATTAATAGTAATTGTTGGACAAACTACTCATTTTAGGAATTCAATGGTAATTATGACAAAAACTCGCTTGTGGAAAATGTCCTATCACCAACTGTAACCACGCGTTACGTCCGCATTCATCCAAAGACATGGTACGGCCACATATCTTTGAGAATTGAAGTTTATGGCTGTTCTTCAGGTATGTTCTAGCAAATCACTGAAATACTAATCTGTTCACTAAGAAATGAGACATAGGTTTGTTAGTGAATATGATCAAGATTCTGTGCTTTCGCGGGTTGTACACAGTGGGTTGTACACAGCCAGAAAATGGCGTTGGACTGTATACACTTATTGTGATTTCTATGCGATGTGATGCTCTGCTCTAAAACTGTGACATTTGTTAACGTTGTCATTTTCTTTTTTATCTGCAAGAATTTAGCCATTGCAACTAAATAATTTTATAATCTTCGTTGTAATAAAATAGGACCTTGCAAAGAAGGAGAGGTTGCATTTGGAATGCAAAATGGAAAGATTCACGACTCGCATATTACAGCGTCATCATTTTGGAGTGCATCCTTATCACCACAAAAAGCTCGCTTAAATGGGGTTGCATCATGGTCGTCTTCAGGTCGAAATAATCAGAAACAATGGATACAGATTGATCTTGGCAAAGAAAGGGTTATCACAGCCATTGCCACTCAAGGTCGTGCTAATTATAACCAATGGGTGAAGACTTACTCAGTGTCTTACAGCTTGAATGGCCAAAATTTTCAATTGTACCTGATCAATGGAGTTAAAAAGGTAACAAGAATTAAAATTGAATGTTGATTGATATTGCTGTATTCTTGTACATAGACTCTGCCGAATATTTGCGGAATCTAATGTTGTCTTGATGTTAATCAAATTCTTCAAATTATTCATATTTGGGACATTCAAAGGAAATAGACATGGCTGTCGTACAAATTGCATTTTGTGATGTCAGCGAACCCTAGGTTGATATTTTTTAGTCCGATCATAGATTTATGAAATTGTTTCGTGACTGTGTTTAATTAATATTTTGCATTTTCATATTGAAATAATCAAGATTGGTGCGTTAGATTATAACAGTTGCTATTTTACTTTCTGGAAAATCTAGCATCATTGATTTTCGTGAAATTCATCAAACCTTCGAGAACCCTAATCTCATTCTCTTTATTTTTTTTATACTGACTTACCTGCATCTCAGTATTTTTGAAACTATTAATATAAGATTGCAATATGCCCAACTGCATTAAGATATTATTTCTAAAACAGAACTAAGCTCGGAATTCCCCAGCAGGATTGTATTTTTGACTATGAGATAAAAATACGTGCAGAAAAGTATAGTCCCAGACTCAAGTAAAAAACGCGTGTGACCAGCTTTGCTTCAAGTGAACTGTGTAACTACCTCGTATCTGTTATTTGGGTTCATTGTCATTGTTGTGTAATTGGTTGAATGAAATCAGGCTTTACTCAAATAGGTGCCAAAACAAGTTACAATATTTTGTATCGTTTTCTATGCAGGTGTTCTATGGAAATAGCGACCGTTGGTCTATCGTAACAAACGTTTTATCTCAGCCGATAACTGCCCGTTACATACGCATACACCCAGAGTCTTGGTATGGTCACATATCCATGAGATTAGAGATTTATGGTTGCTATTCGTATGAAGGTATGAAATTCAACATGAGTTATTCTTCTGTAATATTTATGTTAAAATATCTTCATCATTCGTTACAAGGCATGCGTGCTTTTTTAAAACCAAGTTTATGATATACAATTGTTAGTTATATAGTTGTTTCTAGTTTTCACGAAATAATGCTCTCTTCACAAAAATTAAGGCAATATATATATATTAAATTTTCCAACTTTAAATTGGAACGATAGTGAATAAGCCATTAGCCTTTGTCCCAGTAGGTTGCAGGAGAAATTTAAATGCCTTCTTATGACATTGTCTGTTCAGACCAACAAGACCGCTATATATGGTTTATCCGCATTTTGTAGGACCTTGCAAGTCAGGTGAGGAAGCTCTTGGAGTTGAAAATGGAAAGATTTCTGACATAACCGCATCGTCTGTTTGGAATGCTGCATTATCAACCCAACAGGGTCGATTGAACAGCAGATCCTCGTGGTCTGCACGCAGAAATGATCAGAACCAATGGATTCAGGTTGATCTTGGAAGAAAAGAGACCATCACTGTGATTGCCACTCAAGGACGAAGTAATTATAACCAGTGGGTTAAGACTTTCTCTGTATTCTACAGTTTGAACGGACACACATTTGAGCCTTACAAGATCAATGGCATACAGAAGGTGAGCAAGAGAGTTCGGAAGTATATAATTGTGACTATATTTTGTATCGGGTATATTACCGTGAATCCTCATTTTTCGAATATCAAGGGGACTGCATTGCCACAGGAAAGTGATGGTAACGCTTTTCCAAATTTACCGGCATCTGAAATCTTTACTTTTTATATTTTCAAATTGCAGTGTTTGCCATTCATTACAGAAATATGTACATTAATTGTGAAATGGTTCAATAATCCGTTGCAAGTGCGACGTACTTGTTTTTCAAGGGGTGGCTACGTGCTCGTTTTCAATTGAACCTATAGTTTCATGTGTTTTTTTTGCAGGTGTTCACTGGAAATACAGACAGAAACTCGGTTGTTTTTAATGTATTATCACCAACAATAACAACGCGTTATATTAGGATACACCCCAAAACCTGGCATTACCACATATCCATGCGACTGGAACTTTATGGCTGTAAAAGAGGTATGTTTATTAATGAGTCTTCCGATTAGTCTCCTTAACAACCATTTCGTGAACGTACAGCGTATAGCCTATTCCTCTTATATCTAGATAAAATGTCTTAAGGTTTGGACATCCTAGCTTAGTATACAGTTTGTGATATTCAGAATAACTGATGAAGTGACATACAAATTCTTGTTGTAAAATCCTTTACGTCACCTGGGTTGATAAAGTCTGTGAAAGTCTACACACAAACTTGCTTGCATGTGTACATAATCCCATATTTTTGTCAGAAACTTACCTGAAAATCATGTGTAAAAGTTGTAGACGCGTATAGTATAGCTACATGCAGTGCATACATATTGTTAATCAAGTGCGTACCTGAACATTGTAGAAAAAGAGACACTTTGCAATCTCGGAGAGACGACGCTCGGTATAGAAGATGGAAGAATTGGCAGTACCCAATTGATTTCGTCAACTGTTTGGAGTCCTTCATACTCGGCAGCTCGTGGGGGAAGGTTGTATGACGCTGGTGCATGGATAGCACTTGCTAATGACCTGAACCAATGGATGCAGGTTGATCTTGGCAGAAGGGAAGTTGTTACAGGAATTGCCACTCAAGGTCGAAGTAATTCCAACCAATGGGTGAAGACGTACTTGGTATCCTATAGTTTGGATGGACGAATATTTAATACTTACCAAAGCGATGGTGTTGACAAGGTATAAAAGCAAAAAAAAACAATTTTATCGCATTCTTCATATTAACTGAAATGTATAGTGCCATAAAGCAAGTTGTACTGTAACTTCCATTCCATCGGAAATAAGTTGTAACACGGTTTCGCCGAATCAATATAGATAATGTTTTAGGAGGAATTATAGCTTGCTTTATATATACAGCATTTTCTTACATAAATTTTTGATCTTTTTTTATAGACATTCATTGGAAATACTGACAGAAATACGATCATAAAAAACGTTTTATCTCCTGCAATAACTGCTCGTTACGTTCGGATACATCCAGTGACGTGGCAAAGTCACATATCGATGAGAATGGAACTTTATGGCTGCTTTAGAGGTATGTATATGAATAATAAATTTGTCGAGTAAAATACTTTAATTTATAGAGGTTTAATTGTTAGGTAACATCATTAATCGCAAAAGGAACATTGCAATTTAGCAGTTGGAAACTTATGTCATATTCTATGACTAAGCGGAAACTTTGGTTTCTAAATTAAAAACGGGACCTCTGCCTGGCGCAAGGAAGTATAAACTATAAATGCCCATCCTACCTGAAGGGGCCGGATACTTCGAAACTTTTTTAAAATTACCTGCCTGATTTAGAAATAATATCCAGAATGTTTTCGATACAAGATATTAGTAAAATTATATTCAGCTAAGGTTTATCCACAGAAAACAAAAATGCTAAGACATTTTCGTGAACTAAAGAAAAAATCCCCCCAGTTTATGTTAAAAGAGGCTCTGATTACTGAAAAAAGGCGACGAATGGAAAACAATTATTCAGCTTCGAGTTCGCAGGATGTAATCCTGATATATTGCGGATAAAACCAGCCACAAAATCCTAACTGCAAATCTGACTACACTATTAGATGCTGTATAATTATTTCATTTTATATAAACCCAATATAGTAAATGATCATTTCATTCACACTAAACATGACTTATAGCCGAGTCGGTAAAAAGTTTGTATTTTATTTCAAATTTAATTTAATGCTTGAATTGTGAAGAAGCCTTCCTCAATTCCATTTGTCCCAGGCACTATTTTGGCAAAATTATAAAATCCTGTCTTTTATAACTTTGTATATAACTCTAGCTCCTAAGCCATGCGATTCGACTCCTTGTAAAAATGAAGGAATCTGTCAAAATGACGGGGAATCCTTTCTCTGCACGTGCGTTGGAAGTTACGAAGGGAAAACATGCGAAGGTAACTGTTTTCTTCTTGCGAAAAGAAGTTTGTTGACAAATGAATACCGTCTATTGTGGTTTATTTTGTTATACTAGCATCATAAATGCTAAAGTCTATAGCGAGAATAAATTGTATATGTTTTTATTCACATTTCCTGAGATTTATGAATCGATTTTTTTTCATACTTCAGAATATGCAAGTCCTTGCAAAACACATGAGGTCGGACTGGGCGTAGAGAAAGGAAAAATTCCTGATGATCAGCTGACAGCATCAACTTCATATCGTGTAGCATTAAATGTGCTACATGGACGATTAAATGGTGGTCCCTCGTGGTCAGCACGCCAAAACGATAGGAACCAGTGGATGCAGGTGGATCTTGGCAGAGAGGAAGTTGTTACGGGAATCGCCACTCAGGGTCGAAATAATTACAACCAATGGGTAAAGACGTACTCGGTGTCCTATAGTTTAGATGGAAGAATTTTTTATGCTTACGAAAGCGGTGGTGTTGGCAAGGTTAGTAGTATATTTCTGTCTGATTTTAATATGCTATGAACTTGCGGCCCATATGAAAACATGCGTAAACAAGTTTCCAGTTCCAAAATACAGTGTAACATGTTAATTTCCTTTGTGACCAAAATAATATATGTATATTCTGTAAAAGCATCAAAGGTACTCGAAGTTTAAATACGAGTTAGTTCAAATACTGTAACTATCTTGAGTCGTGGTCGCGTAAATATTCTCAGCTCGCTGATTTACTTTATCGTGACTTGCTGTGACAGCTTTTGTATGTAGATCACACCATGCTTGTAAACAGTTATGTTCCAATATAACCAGAGAGCAGCGTGGCAGCGTCTTCAAATAACTTAGCATCATCAAATGTGGTATAACATCTGCCTAAGGCTAAAATAGACAAACACTTCTCGACGTTTCGACCTGACGGCCTTCAGCAGTAGGGTTACCATGAGGTGGACCTTGGAACTAACTTTCGTGACGAAATGTCGAGAAGTGTTTTGTCTATTTTAGGCAGTTGTTATACCACATTCGATTGTAAACAGTTACGTATGTTTGATGTCTTTGAAATAGAGTCGAAATCTGACCTAGATTTTGTCTCGTTTTTAACAACTCCTGTCTTGAGTTAACAAGATATTTATTTTCGGAGTATGTTTACACTGTGTTTTCTTACATAAATTTCTTATATTACATTTCATGTATTTTGTAGATATTCATTGGAAATACTGACAGAAATACGATCATAAAGAACGTTTTATCTCCTGCAATAACTGCTCGTTATGTTCGGATACATCCAGTGACGTGGCAAAGGCACATATCGATGAGAATGGAACTTTATGGATGTTATAGAGGTAATGACATCGATTTAGTGTTGCTCTACATTGTAGACATTAGCTTCTTGATTTTCAAATAACTTGTATTACAACAAAAGTCCACTTACAATGAAATCATGGGAACCAAGTAAAATTTCATTAAGTTTCCTTGTGCGTAATCACGCGCATTTAAGAGAGGTAATAACAATGATTGATCATTTCTGTCACTTTTGAGGACACACTGTATAAATGTTTGCTGATAAATTGTTTCTAAAACGGTAAATCCCCCTAAAACCGGTTTCATTGTTGTAACTAGCGAAGTTCCAGGTTTTTATCGTCGATATACTAGAATTTTTTTTACTTCGTGGTGACCACTGATCTGATATTACACTGAATGTACAAGTATATAGTACAGGCCGCGGAATTAAGGAACTCTGCATGGGAGTTGCTTTCATGCTTTGCTATTATATATATAGGTCTTTGGAAGTTGTGTTAATTTTTAGTAATGTTAAATTCATTACTGATATCGGTAGTAATAGCAAATTTCTAAACTACAATTATTGGTAAATGAAAGGTTCAATTTAAGATGGTCAAAAGTTTAGGTCGTCAGAAAAAGGATCAATCCCAGTTATCTATGGATTGGCAAATACTCGATTTTACAACCATCAAATGTATCAAAACCTTTCCAGTCGGGTTCTTGACACTGTTTGAATTATTAAACATTGTAATTTAAATGCGCTTTTGAGATCAGCGATGAATAATTTGTTCTCATGAAAGATTGCTATGTTATGTTGGTACGCAGCTTGGCGTTAAATTCAAAGTAAATTACCGGAAATTGTTAGTAAAAGAATTTTTATTGGTTTACTCTACACTTCGATTATTCATTTATTTCATTTTGAACTCTGTTACCGTCGAAATTGAATTGAAGTCCTGATTGAGTTATAATGGTCGTGCTCTTTTGGTTTTATCTTTTTAAAGCGCCGAAGCCCTGTGACTCGTCACCCTGTAAAAATGAAGGGAAATGTACAAACGAAGGAAATTTGAGTTTTTCATGCAAGTGTCGACCGTACTTCATTGGTCTGACGTGCGAGACAGGTAAAGTTCTTGGTTTGCTAAATTCATTTTCGAGAGCAGTTCTCTCGCTTTTGCGAAGAAACTGAAAGTCCGCAAATATTTAGGCACGATGAACGTACATGTATGTCAACAACATTTTTTCGACTTTGTAGAGCTTCCAAACCCCTGCCAAGCAAAACCATGCCGGAATGGCGGACATTGTGTTGTCTTGGGCAACCATTATTCCTGCAGATGTAAACCAGAATTTGGTGGAGTGCATTGTGAACACAGCCAGTGTAAGTAGTTGGGGTTAATAGTAAAATATAGCAACATAACTCTCGGATAGGTCAGCTGGGAAATAAACACTTTACTCTGAAGATAACTATTAAAACGTGGTTCAGTCAAAAGCACCAAAGCCAGAGTCCATCCCGTCTTAAACTTGTACGCGGTCGTTTTAACATCAAGACTTCATTATAATTATTTAAACTTTGGGTTTTCAAACAGTTTCATTGACTTTGAGTATAGCAAAGTTTGTGATGATTTGAATATTGAGGTGCATGTGGCATATTAGTTGACACTGAAACACAATGTTACACCCGTGAATAACTGTGTTGAATACAAATATTCTACATTCTTAGCTTTGTGTTGGGCGCATGGAGATCCACACTACAGATCATTTGATGGACTAACGTTTAACTTCATGGGAACGTGCGAATATGACTTTGCTAAGGACTGCAGCGTTAATAAGCTGTTTACTGTACGTACCACAAACAAAAGATGTGGGTGGGGAGTCTCTTGCACTGCGTCTGTGAAGATCTACATCGCTAGTTATCATATTCTTATGACGAGAGTACGTCAAACGGCTATAGTTAACGGAGTAAAGATAACCAGATTTCCCCTATTTCGACCAGGTAAGATTAATCCAACTAATCACTACTGCTCTCCACAGTTTCACTAAAGCATTGGTCGAGGCGTTGTCGGAAAAGTGTCTCAGGCATTGGGTCGAAATTTCGGAGTAATGCTGACAATGTTTTGGGCAGGGTGGCATAAATGTTCTGTTTCATTATGATGTACAAATAATTATGACTTTTAGGATTCCAGATAACTAACCCAAGTGTAAAGTTGCTGATATTCTCATCAACTGATATTGGTTTGACAGTGTCCTGGGACACGTCAATGGCGATTAAGGTAGCAGTTTCCGGGAGGTTCCGAGAGAAGCTGTGTTCTTCGTCGTTATGTGGCAACAATAATGGCAACAAATTTGACGACAACAAGTTCAGCCGAAATTGTGCTCCTCCAGCTGATGAGCTTTCATGCATTCCCGACTCTTTGACCCAACCTATCATTGACAAATGTCAGCTAATGAATAGTCCCAGTTCCCCATTCAAACATTGCAACAGCTTTGTGGATCCAACGACGTTGATCAGTGATTGTAAATATGATGCGTGTCGTTGCAAGAATCCTCTGCAATGTGTTTGTGCTGCTTTCGCATCGTACAGCAAGCAATGTGCTGCAATACAATCTGTTGTCGAGTGGAGATTCAAAGGAACGTATTTGTACGAACCTCTAAAGGAATGTGGTAAGCAATAAGTGGACGCACCTACCTTCTCTGCTGAATATAATGGAAAGGATTGACGAATGTACATTTTACCGCAATGTAGCTATTGCAAACAGCTGCGTATGGATTATTCAGAAAAAGGATGAGAAAAAAACCCTATTGACATAAAATTTCACTGCAGCAAAGAAGAATGTCTTTCCTTTCATTTGCCCTTAAAAAGATACTCTCTTTGTCTTTTGATTCCGATAATGCATTTTGGTGAAATGTACATCTGCCATTGTCAGTTACGCTAATGTGTATTTTGAATAATATTGTTTTTAGTTGCTCTTCAATGTTTTTGGGTAAGTTAATTGTCCTCAATGAATGATCAATGGTATATTTGGTGAACAACAGATATTTATTTTCAGCGCAAGAGTGTAAAAATCCGGGTGAAATATTCACAGAGTGTGGTTCGTCCTGCGCCAAAACATGTCGTGATTTATCAAGTGATTCTCGATGCAGTGAAGAATGCGTCCCATCATGTCAGTGTCCTGAAGGTCAAGTGCTTGATGATAACAGTCGCTGTGTTCCTGTGACAGAATGCACTTGCTTTTTCCAAGAAAAAGTTTATCAACCTGGTCAGAGTATCAAGATCGGAAATTGTAAAACTTGGTACGAAACGTAAATCTGTTCGGCTTTGTTCCATGCAGGTTGGAACTGTAGAATGCTTTGGGTTTTTAAAAGGAAGTGCACGGGCTAGGGACAACTGCAAGTCAGTGTCCAACCATTCGCCGCCTGTAAAGGCCCTCAGAATGCATATATAGATACATTTTCTAAAAGAAGAAAGAAGCCTCGTAATAAAATTATGATCTTACGACTACCGGGTCTGAAAATATTTAAACAACCTCTGACTACAGTTGATCTAAATTTAAATCATTTTGATTCATGATTGTCCATAATTGTAATCCCAGGAAAAATATCTGATCGACCCAAGTCAACTGCGATAATTTCCATAGTAATACCAAAATCTTCTTATCCCAACCTGCGCTTAAAACGAACCTTTAAACGTCGCTTGTTTCTAAACTACTATTATTACATGTTAATATACTTGATTCTTTACAGCACGTGCAACGCCGGTGGTATGGCCTGTTTAGATGACAAAATATGCAGCAGTAAAAGTTAGTAATGATTGACTACTTATATATCGTGCTCATGATTGAAATCATTTAGAATTTTAACATCATCACGCATAAAAATTCTTTCATTTAAGGACCGTGCGAGTCTTTCCCGTGTAAAAATGGGGGTGTTTGTAAT